ACGTGTGTGTTTGTTGTTGTATGAGTTTATCCTGTAGCTAGTGCATATGTATGTATCTGATGACGTGTGTTTTCGTTGTTGTGTGAGTGTATATGTATTTATCTGATGACGTATGTGTTCGTTGTTGTGTGAGTGTAGATGTATATATCTGATGACTTGTGTGTTTATGGTTGTATGAGTGTTGGCTTGTGTGTTTATTATGAGTGTTGGCTTGTGCGTTTATGGTTGTATGAGTGTATATCTGATGACGTGTGTGTTTGTTGTTGTACGAGTGTATACTGTAGCTAGTGTATATGTATATATCTGATGACGTGTGTGTTTGTTGTTTTATGAGTGTATATGTATATATCTGATAACGTGTGTGTTCGTTGTTGTGTGAGTGTATATGTATATATCTGATGACGTGTGTGTTTGTTGTATGAGTATATTTATATCTGATGATTGTCGCGTTAATTCAATATTTGCGTATATTCTTCAGTCCCAAGATATAATCCTTGAGTGTAAGCTTGTTTGTATGCTGCAATCTCCAGGCATAATCATGGTGTGTACGGTTTTTTCTATTCTCCAATCGCAAGCTACAAGCTATACGCATTCATTTCGTATTCACGTTTATTGCACGATCCCAAGGTATTACCATGGAGCGCGGGGAATTGAATATATCGTCCCAGTTGGAGCGAATGGAAGGCGTTAACGAGGAGATCCGAAAACGTTTAGACAACCGTAAAAGTGTTGCAGAGGCCTATAACAACCCAGTCGTATCCGTTAGACCGTACAGTAAAATCAAGAACCAGCCAGACCCAAAAATGGAAGCCATGGTTAAGAATCTCGAGGTGTTGGAGGAGTGTAAGTGGGGTGTATATGTATGTCTATTTATGTATATGTATGTCTATTTATGTATATGTATGTCTATTTATGTATATTTATGTATTTGTATGTCTATTTATGTATATTTATGTATATGTATGTCTATTTATGTATATGTATGTCTATTTATGTATATGCATGTCTATTTATGTATATGTATGTCTATTTATGTATTTGTATGTCTATTTATGTATATGTATGTCTATTTATGTATATGTATGTCTATCTGTCTGTATTCTGGATATAAGTTTCTGCAGGGTATCCCGCGAATATAGACACTTCCTGTATTGAGTTCACAATCAACTTGTTTTTTTTTTTTGGATTGATATATTATATTGATGCATACGTACACGTACATATATATATATATATATATATTTACTTATATATATATATATATATACATATATAAATATATATATATATATATTCATATATGTATATACATGTACATATACATACTTATATACATACATCCATGCAGATGAGAATCACAGCGCGTCCGAAATCCAATGGCAATTGGAAAACAAGGGGCGTGAATTGGAAAATGAATTCATGTACGAAAGTCGATTAGCGAAGGTACATGCTGGAGAAGTTACTAAAGTGTCTGAGCTACGCCATATCATGTCTGAGTGGCGTAAAATCGTTAAACACCGCATCGAACAACACATTGCCACGATTGATGCTTCTGAAGGTATGTGCGTATATATAAGGATCTATTATGTAACTATTTCTATACATATGTACTATAATATATACATACATACATATATATATATATATATATTATTTATATTTATATATATATATATATATTCGACACGCACACATATGTAAGAGTAACACAAAGTGTACGACAAAACGGTATTCAGATTCTGCCGGGGAGGAAGCCGGCCTCAGCATATCGTTAGGGGTGTATCCCCCTTGCAGAGGAGAGGCTATATTATATATATATGTGTGTGTATGTGTGCATGTGTTTATATTTTTTATGTTTATATAAATGCATATATATCTAGTACCATTATACATATAAGTGATTAAATATACGAAGTACCTGGGACACTTCGTGACATACATGAATGGACTTCAGTCGTTACCCATCTCGTCAAGCAGTCCATCGCTGGCTGTAGTGAATGCCCTGGATTGTTTGGTGGGTTTGTGTAAATGCATATCTTTTGCATCTGCGTGTGTAATATATATGCTTTTTGTAAGGACTACTGTCTGCATGTATGCGTTTTTGTGCTATGAATCTTCAAAGTGAAATCATATATATACTTATGTATATATATCTATATATATACTAGACGTATATATTAATACATTCATATGGATGAATACCGACCTTTTCTCCCTGATCAAATCTCACACAGGCAAAGCCAAAAAGATGCACGTAGAAATCCAGCCGTTTCTGAAGTGTGTGGAACCAGAAAGTTTGGCACTGATCGCAGTGGCACAGACCTTATCACTGACACTTCGCGAAGAGTATGTTTGATGTGTAGATTTGCTGTCATGCGTATGTGGATCAATTCTGTGCACCGTAGTTGGCTGTATATAGTTTGGCATGTGTAAGTAGTATTGTACGTGAGATTTATGTGAATATGCATATATATATATATATATATGTGTGTGTGTGTGTGTGTGTGTACGTATATGTATATGTATAAGCGTATGTACCACTTTTCTTTAATTGCCATACATCTGAATACACTCAGCGAGGGGGAACGTTTCACCAATCTGGTGATGGAGATTGGTTCGCGTGTCTTCGATCAATACCAACAAGACAGGCGATTGTCCCAAGTGCGATTGACCGATGAGGTCAAAGCGGCGCTAAAACCAAAGGAACTGCAAGAGGCCACTATGCACAATGTGGATGTGAAACTCCCGGCCAGTACTATCGAACTACCGAAGGAAGGGCTGGGTATGTTTATAGTTTTGTACGTATATGGATGCGTGTTGATGTACTTGCATGTTATATATATATGTATATATATACATATACATATATATATATATGGATTGTCTTTGTCTTTGTCTTTGTCTTTGTCTCTGTCTTTATACTCGTTATTCTTATTGTTTTTGTTTCTGTTTCTGTTTTTTTGTTTTCGATTTTAGTTTTCGACAGCCCAGAATACTGTATACATATACGTATACACATACTTATGTTTACAAATATATATTTACACACATATCCTTGAATGTCTTGAATAATTATTTTCCCCACCATTCATTAAAAAAACCCGCCGATTGAAACATCAATAGAGACTCAGGTGCCGGATGTAGCAACGGTTGTGACGGATGGCGCCCGTGCCGAAAAAGCGCAAAAGGAAAACAACGCAAAGTACAATGGAAACAAAACCGTATGTACATGACGTGTGTAGCATACGGTTGCACGCATACAGACAAGTGGTGTGCACCAATCACAATCACGCGCGTATGAGTTTATCTACGAGCATGAGATCCTACTTACTGTGCGATGGGGACCGAATGGGATGTAGTTTGTGTAGGCTGTTTGTACTGTCCCTGGCACATTTACAGTCGAACGGTGTGTGTTCGTAACACATGTATGTGTGTGTGTTCGTAACACATGTATGTGTGTGTGTCTTAACACAGGTATGTGTGTGTGTTCTTAACACATGTACGTGTGTGTGTTCTTAACACATGTACGTGTGTGTGTTCTTATCACATGTATGCGTGTGTGTTCTTAACACATGTATGTGGCGTTTGTAATATGCGTCGCACACTTGCAGACAAATCCTTGTTGCTGTCATCCGTTGTCGATTAAATAACTAAATCTTTTACTTCCTTATACTTCCATGTTCATCACCCTATACCCTAAACCCTGCGACTTTAGGTAATACGCATCGCCCAGTTGCAGAATGAAGCCAAGAAACTGTGGGATCAATACCAGCACAACGAACAACCTCACAAACTACGTATTTTCTGGAATAAAGTAGCACGCACTCATCCAGCTTTGGGTTTCGAGAAAATGGTTATACCTGAATGGAAGGCCAAAGTAAAGGCTAGGGTATGTGTTTATGTAGCTATATATATATATGTGTGTGTGTGTACGTGTATGTATGTGTGTGTGTGTGTACGTGTATGTATGTGTGTGTGTGTGCATGTATGTATATGCGTGTGTGTGTATGTATATGTATACATATTTATTCGTTTATGTGCGTGTGTGTTCATATATGTATACGCGTTTATTATCGCGTATGTGTGTAGAAGTAGGTATATGTATGTACATGCATGCTTATAAGGTACATGCGTATAAGTTGCGTGTATACACAAGTGTGAGAGGATCTATATATACTAACAATATCTGTACTCTATAAAATGACCATAATCACCCATCGCTATGTCTTCAAAAACAGACATAAACATGTATCTCTGCGCTTGCACATACCTTCTGTATGCGCTAGGGTTTAGAGTTTTCTAATAACCCTAAACTCTAGTCACCGTTGACCTTTTAGCGCGATGTTTTGGGAGTTGTCAGATGCTCCCGTACGCATCGCTCATATGTTTTTAAAGATCTTCCTCTCATCAGTCCAGCCTAAAACCTCAACTCGTAAGTCTCAATTGTTTCTAACCCTTAAACCCCAAAACTCTAAAACCTAAGATATTATAACCCTGGAACACCTACACATGACACACTTGTCCTTCTGCGCAGGTGGGGGCCTTCTTAGTGGAGCAAGTGTTGGATGCCTCGTATATCAATTCAACCGAACCGTTGCACAAGATCCGAGCGGAGAAAATTATCGCCGGAGATATACCCAAGCATTCCAACACGGCGTTCCACCACTAGTAAGGACATGTAAAGCAGATGCTTCTATGTATATGCAGTGTATGTGTGTGTATGTGTGTTTATGTGTATGAATGTGCGAGACTTAAACTTAAAGTATCTCTGTCGTATTAGAGTCGCTTAACAAGTCGCTTAGTAGCTCCCTTAGTCATGTATGCATATGTACGACTCCCAATTGGATGTCGCGTGTAGGGAATTCATATCAGCCAATAAGGGCTTGATCTATTTATAAACTCATTTTTATTGGTAGATATCTAGTCATGCGTGCTCCTATTGTAGTTGCCCCGTGCTGGTAAACCGAATAGGGGTTTGATCAGCCTGTGCACGCACAACAACGAGAAAGCTGCTATGCCCTATATCCCCAAAACTCTTAGAACCATAAAACTTTATAACTTTATCACCCTAATATAAAAACCTTAAAACTCTCAGAACCCTAAAACTTCATAACTTTAAACCCCTAATATAGCCTGGCCCAAACGGGCAAGAAGAAAATCGGCATGATTAATCTGCACGAAAAACTGCGAGAGACACTAAACGAGAACAACATCCGAATGGACAGCATCAACACCACCCAACTGCCCATGGTCTCATCCCCCAAACCCTGGCTCAAGTACGTGTGAAGTCATGAGAGAGAGAGTGTGTGTGTGTAGGAGTATGTGTATGTGTAAGGAGATGTAGATGTGATGTATATGTATATGTATATGTATATTTTTGTGTATCTGTATATGTATCCGTATCTGTATATCCCCCGCTTCCCCCCTCGACCCCCCCCCCCTACCACACACACGCACACGTCTTCTCTCATTTACAGGGCCAATCGCGGAGGCTACTTCACCAATCGGAAGAGTCTCATGCGTACTACAGGTGGAGAGCATAACGTGCAGGCCAACTTGGTAGAGGAGCACGAGAAGGATTTGCACAGAGTATTCGATGCGCTCAATGTGTTAGGCGCAACACCCTGGCGGATCAATCACCGAGTGCTGGAGGTTATCACGCATATATGGAACGAGGTATGTGTGTGTGTGTATATGTATATGTATGTATAAATGTGTGTGCGTATGTGTATGTGTGTGTGTATGTATAAATGTATTTGTGTATGTGCATGTATATATATGTGTGTATGTGTATGTATAAATGTGTGTGCGTATGTGTATGTGTATGTATAGATGTGTGTGTGTATGTATAAATGTGTATGTGTATATGTATGTATAAATGTATGTGTGTATGTGCATGTATAAATGTGTGTGTGTGTATGTGCATGTATATATGCGTGTGTATGTGTTTGTGTGTATGTTTATGCGTATGCACATATGTGTGTGTATGCGTATGTATATATGTGTGTGTATGTGTATGTATATGTACATGTATATATATGTGTGTTTGTGTGTATGTGTATGTAGAAATGTGTGTTTGTGTGTATGTGCATGTAGAAATGTGTGTATGTGTATGTAGAAATGTGTGTTTATGTGTATGTGCATGTATATATATGTGTGTTTGTGTGTATGTGTATGTGCATGTATATATACGTGTGTGTATGTACATGTATATGTATGTGTATGTAGAAATGTGTGTTTGTGTGTATGTGTATGTATATATATGTGTTTTTGTGAATGTGAACATGCACGTGTCCTTATTTTTTTTCTCATTTCAAGGTGTTTGTGCATTTCAATTTGATTGGATGTGTGTATATTTTGCAATGCGTATATGCATATACGTTTATAAATATCCACCAATCAAAACCGTGTGTATTTTATAACATTCTCACATGTTTGGATGTGTGTATCTACGCGGGCATGCATGCGTACTGCAAAGAGAATGTGCATGTGTGTCTATAAATATCCACCAATCAATACCGTGTATATTCTTCTCACTATTCTCAGGGCGGCAATAATGACCTATCCGTACCGCCTTTGGCTTCGGTTCCTCTGCCAACGCCTCCCGCCGACAAAGACGATGTCACAGCGCAAATGGTTTATAAGCGAGCGAAGAAGGAAGCGATCAAACAGAACAGAGAGCTGCACTCCTTGCGATGTGATGCCCAGTATAAGCTGGTTATCGCCGCTAAGTTGAGGTGTGTGAAACATATACATACACTGTATAAATGTATATATATATATATATATAAATGTCACTTAGACATACACCTCCACTCTTTGTACACGGGAAGTATTGATTGTTCCTCGCTCACTAGATAACATGCTTTATGACTTTTCAATTGTGTAAGGCTTCTTAAGTTAGTAGTGTGCAATGATAGCGTGGCGCGTTATACATATCCAAGTATCATCGAGTCCTGTTCTCATAATATGATCACAAATCATCTTATACATGCACAGGAGTTATCGGTTGATCTCGATAAACCCTACACTCTGAAACCTAAAACCCTATCTCGATTGTACAGGAATTATCGGTTCATAAACCATAAAACCCTTATAAACCTTAAATTTCTAAACCCTACATCAAATATCAAATATCACCTTGTACATGCACAGGAATTATCGGTTCTTCTTCCCACACAATATCGATTTCCGAGGTCGGGCGTACCCCATACCTCCTCATCTCAATCACCTTGGCAACGACTTCTGTCGTGGCATGCTCATGTTTGGCGAGCACAAGAAATTGGGAAAAGAAGGTATGCGTATGAATGGAATAGCTCAAACACTTACTCATCCAGATATAGGTAAATGGGTTGCCATTGCCACTTGTACGTGTGGGATGAGCTCTCGGCATGTTTTGAATGATACCATTACATACTAGTTTGCGTTTAATTGATGTATATATATATATATATATATATATATAGTATATGTATATGTAGTGTATTCTATTACTAACTACTTTCTACTTTCTACTAATTAATTAGTTAG